TCCTGCAGCACTATCTGCCACCCCTCCAGAGCTCCTGCACTGAGGCCAGCTTTCCAATCAGACTTTTTGCACAGGCTGTGACAAGCTTCTTCCCAAATTGCATCAGCCTCTCTGAATCCAGCCAATCCAGGTCCTCATCTGGGCCTCACAAAAGGTTTTGTAGTTTCCTAAAGTTGTAATCTCACAGCTCCCTTTACCCTGAACAGAGCCAAATACCCACAAACAGCTCCTCCTTTGGAAAGGAGGAAATCATCTGCCAATAGTTTTCAGGTTTTTCTCTAGCAGGCCACACAATTTGCAGCAGAATCCTTCTTGGAAAGAGTGTGGTATGATCTGATATTCCCTGCCAGATTCTTCTGAAGATAAAATCTGAATCCATCACTGTACAACACAAGTTTATGGGTAAGATGCTCAAGAGTTTATTCCCTGGACATGAAACATGACATGAGGTGTGACCATGGGATGCAGTGAACTGTGAAAAGAAACTTTCCCTTCCTGCTATCTGTGACATCTGAAAACCAAACAACTGTGACAGCAGTGGCAGCACCCAAATGTCCAGTCACTTGCGCGTCAGCTCTTGCCCAATAACAGGCAAGACTTACAACCATGGTTGGAGTGATTCATTAGGTGATTCCAAGTTAGGTGCAGGGGTAAATTTTGTTTGCACTCACTCATACACATGAGAGAACTCAGTGATCATAGAGGTCTTTTCTAACCTAAATAATTCTCTGATCCTAAGACAGTCTGCCATAGTTCAGATGTGTATAGGGAGGGAGAGATGCTTCTTCCATGTGTCAGAATAGAAGTAGGTACTAAATGCTATTCTTCACATTTGCAACCCAGAGAAGGAAAAATTTGGGAACAGCAGGTTTTCATCCAGTAGAGATGCCCAAGGAGTTAGGAGGTGAGACCACACAGGCTTTGACACAAGGTTATTCTACTCCTGACCTGTGGAGCATTTTCTCTCTGTGCTACACAGCTTTAAGTTAAAATATGTTCTCCAAGGAAAATACATCACTCTGGACCTGGGATCGTTCCCACCCAACACTTTGTGTCTGGGGTGGAGGTGCCTCTGCCAGTGGCGAATCTCACAGTGCAAATGGGAATGCGTAGTTCAATTAGAAGCTGATCTCCAGGAGCAGTGTTGACTCAGCCATCCTGGGAATTTAATACATGGTCAGATGCAGACCCTTTGCTGAAGCCCAGATTTGGTCAGATTGCCCAAGACCCACATATCCTTTTCTGAAAGAGTGGAAAAAATTGTCTCTGGTATGCAGCAGGACACATGTCCCTGTCTACAATAAAGCCTTTTTGTTCACTCCCTGTTTGTCTTCACTTTGTCTTTGAAGAAGTGTGAGCCCCAAAATACCCACTGAACCTGATAGCCCAAGGTACTGGAAAAACTTCCTTATGGGAAACATAGCAATTATATGAAACAAAAATTTAAAAACTGAAACCATTGTGCATTCCTCTGCAAATACAACCCCAGACCAATCTATGGTCAGATAAACTGGGTGCTGATGTCCTGAGCTCCAGGTGTGAAACAGATGAGGGCAGGAATGCTTCTCAAAATGTGAGGAAAAAAATAGAAAATCCATTCCCATCCAGATATGCTGGGAAGAAGGAGCCAAGGGGTTTTAGTATCTGTTAGGAACTGCCTTGCATGGTGCATGGCTACACAGAGATGTAGCCCCATCTCTGTGAGTTCTCCTGCTCTGCTCCTTTCCAGTCCACCCACTGAGCTGAGGTCTGTGTCTCCACCTTCCCTCTACCCTACAAAATCACCAGCCTGTTGAGCAAAATTCCTGCATGTCCATCTTCCTGTTTCAGATCTGTTATGAGTTTTCTGTCTGCCACCCGTCTTTCTGGCTGGCTCAGCATTTTGGGACAGAACCGGAACTTCAGAGAAGAGAGAGGGAATGGCAGGACATGGTCAATTTTCCACTATCTGGGAAGCCAGGACAGTGGTCTGAGCCCTCTTGGCTGTACAAAAGGGGAGATAAAGGCTGTTGTTGACATGGTGGGTGTTGAGGATGAGGAAGGCAGCTCCAGCCATGCAGAGCTGTGAGTGTCTGTGTCTCTGGTGGATGAGGTATCTTCAAAATCTAAGGGAGGATCTGGTATTCACATGTCTGCATGTGCACATCTGTGTGGGAGTAGGGTTTGTTTATATTATAACAAGAAGCTGCAGATGGAAACAACCCATTTTGGTGTCTTAGGCCTGGTTCAGAGCCCATTAAAATCAGCAGGAGTCATTCCATTTACAGTAGTGGGTTTTGGCCACATCTCTCCTTGCCCTTCCCCAACATGCCTATGACCTCAAAAGTTGCTCCTTGCTGCATATCCTCAATTTAACCCTGTGAGCAGTGGGGCTTCCCATGTTTCCCAGAGTAGTGGCTTTACAGGGGATCTGTGGACATGCCCCCACCTCTGCTGTCCCACCCTGCAGTTACTGAGAGGCAAGTGCTGCTCATTCACCTCTCCTTGCTCAAGATACCAAGCAAGGAGAGGCACCTAGCAAGATGCCTCTGTTTGATTTGATTTAGTAAATTGGAGTCACCAGGCGTTTTTATTTCCATGTTTTGTGTGGCTTTTATCTGAACACACTTCAGCATCTTCTCCCTCCTCAGAAGTCAGAAGTTGAGATCAGAAGGGCTCACCATCCTATCACCTTCATCCAGTCTATCACATTTCTCCCAGCTTTGCCTGAAATGTGTTTAACTTGTCTGCATCCATTTCTGAAAGGTCTTCTTTCTAGGTGTCAGACATCAAAAGCTGATGAACCTTTGGTCTAATGGCTGCATTCTGTGCACAGTGATGGCATTGCTTTCTCTCCTTTGGCTTTGTCAAGTTATTGCTGCACTCCCATGTGTAAAAGAGCCCTTTAAGATTTATCAATTCCACGTAAGTGTGGCAATAGCCTGTAAACAAGGCACATCCCTATCTTTTGTTTTTCAGTAAAATCACAGGATTATGCTCCTGAAGACTTTCACTGTGAGGCATTTCATTTCATGTTTTCCATTTGTAACAGCATTTTAAAATGTGGATGTTGGAACAGGACCAAGCACAAGGGCATCAGTCGTAAAGATGCAGGGCTGTTTCCACTCGTCGCTCCATCATTTATGCAGAAACAGATTGCAACAGCTTTGTTTGCCACAACATTGATTTAGATGTCAAAATTAAGCTGCTTCTGCTTTTTGCACCACCAACCCTCATCAGAAATATTGCTGTCTATGCTCCCCCTTGTCCTTTCTGAAATACCACCCCAGCACCATGGCTCTCTGGATGTGTATCACCCAAGTCTTGACCAGGCTGAACAGATCCATTCAGCTTTTCCATCCTGATAACATCACAGGTTGGAGTGGAATGAGCAGAAAGTGAAGGGTTGAGCCATCAAAGCAGATCAAGATCTGCCACTGGGGTGCCATGGACAGTAATGTAATGTTCCACATGAGCATACAGGAGATATGTTCAGGGATAATGCACTTACATAGAAAGAGAATTTTTTTAATTCCAGGATTTTATCAGATCTGGAAAAATGCTGAATGAGTGGGTCACTGCAGTATCAGTGTATGGCTACACCATGAAGAGGGAGCTGTGTTCCTTCTCTAACATCCACACTGTAATTGTACAGCCTCTGCAAATAATTAACTGAGCTTAACCAGACTCTTTTCCCAGCATTAAAACTGTATTATCAGTTCACTCCCTACCTCAAAAATTAATTTTCATTTTCAGACCCACACCCCTTTATTATAATAGATAATGTGACATTTCATCCCAAATAATTTAGTGGGAATACTAGAAAGAAAGAAGTTTCAGCCTGTTTGGGAAGAAGGAAAAGTCAGGGGCAACAAAAACTGCAAGAACATTCAGTCCTCATGCTGCAAGTTATAAGCTGATCACGTATACATTCATGCATACACATGTAGGCGTAGTCACCTCACTACTGCCACATGTTGTGGTCTGGTTTCAGCAGCCAAGGCTTTCCTAGCACTGAACTAGGAGATAAAATTGCATTGCTTTATGCAACTGGAACTCCATGCCCAAAATGCATGCTTGCTCTGTTGAGCTGGGACTTTTAGGGGCAGATATAACATCAACTTTGCTTAACAGTCCTGTAGTCTGCTCCGAACTGGGCCATTCATCTGGGAGCAGACACACAGGCAGATGTTGAAGTTTGCTAACACCCCTCCACTGTATACCTCAGCATCTCCCAGAGCTTCACCACTCCATCCTGTAGCCCACAGCCAGTACTAACTACCAGGTATGGCAATGCTGCCTGACGAGGTGTTTTTCTTCAGTGCTTTTGTGTGATACCAACCCAAGGATACCCATGAGACAAGGGGTGGCTGGGGCAGAATAGCCAGGGGGTGGCAAATGTAGAAGTGGAAAGGCTACACAAGCTGTGGGTGTAGTTCAGGCAACAGAGAGGAAATAAGAATTGAGCTGAAGTTTCCTATTAGCTGGACTTCCAGCAGTCTTTCACCATGGAAAGCTACCTTAATTAAAAGTTCCCAACATAAGATTTATTCCAGATAATCATGAAACTTAAGACTAAATGGGTGAGTTTCTAGTAAGGCAACATGCTAGGAGCAGGTTGCTTACTGCAGTGTCTTATACTCTGAAGGAAATACTATTTATGGCCCAGGGCCACAGGCAGCCCTTTGAGCTGAGGGACTCCTCCTACTCGGAAAAACAAGATACAAGAGTTGAAAAAGGGGCAAGTGACATTTCTACCAGGAGTTGCTCTCAGGAACTCATGTCCAGTCCTTTTCAGAGCCTGAAAAAGTGGCTTTGTAAGTTGCCACTTACAATGAGATTGTAAATATAGGCTCTAGGTCTGCCTTGAGAGCACCCACTTCCTGGGATGGGTTTGACGACTTCACACAGTCTCGTATGGTCCCAGTATGGACAAAGCACTGAGAGAATGCTACACAAAACCAATCACAGTTGAACTCAGGAAGATTTAAATGAGATTAAATCAATGAGGAAACAAAAAATGTGTAAGTGCTGTCTTTATTCTGTGAAAATATAAAAGAAAAGCTAATCTGAAAATAAAATCCCCATGCAGAAGAAGCTACAGCAAAAAGGGCTAAGTTGCAAACCACTGCTGGGGTTTGCTGTGGGTTTTGCTCAACCCAGCACTAGTGAGAGTCAGAAAAGTACCTTCTCCAGGATGAATCCTGATAGGACAGGAAGGAAGGCTGTGTGTGGAGGGGCAATCCCAGCACTGTACACCACGCTGTACACAGCAGAAGCTGGTCTGCATTGGAACCGTTTCAACTTTATGTCCATCATCCCCAGGCTGTTTTTTCCATCTCCTACCATACTGCATTCAGAAATGGTGGTGCAACCCTTCATGGCAGCTTTCAGAGACAGTCCACCTGTGCAGGGGAAATACAAGAAATACATGCCATGTATCAGGGGATCCAATCCCCAACAATAATCCCAGCCTGGCCAGTGCGGTCCCCATTTCTAAGCTAAGAACTGCCCATTCATTACATCCAGTTGTTTCCAAACCCACCAGCACTGTCTGTTGCCATCCCCTGAATAAAGCTGAAGAAACAGCAAGTCCGTCTTGGTGGACTTGAAATACAAGTGATTTAAGGTTTGTCTTCTTTCTTTCTGCTGAATAAAGATGACTTTTAAAAATTCTAAACATTTAAATTTAAAAAGAGAAAATGCCTTAAGTAGTTCTCTTTCTCACGTTTAAAGATTCTTCTGCCCAAACTTTGGCTTCCTAAAGAAACCAGGGCTGTGCAACAGCACACCAGGTATTCATTGTCTCCTTCTCTCTCTGACCGTCTCATGACATTCAAACTGAATGACTTTCTCTCAGTCAGATTTGACAAGGAATTGAGAAGTCTCAATGACAATACAACCTGACCCACTTATTAAGAGGAATTCCTTCTCAAAGTCTTTATAAGATTTTAGCCAAACCAAGAGAGAAACCTATGGATAGGCCCACTGAAACCTGAACTTGCCCTTTGCCACCACTGGAGCATTTACAAGAGGAAACCTGAGCAGGTACTGAGTGCTTAACTCCACATTCAGATATTCTTGCTCCTGTTTCTTGCTTTTGCTAGTGCTGTTCTCTGCTGTGCAGATTACGGAGGTCTAGAATACTTTGTTGGACAATTTTATCTCAAATACAAACAACAGGCAAAGGCACTTCATTAGCTCCTCACCTTCCTGTGCTCCCCTACGCTGCTGCTTTCTCTGCACAGTTTATCACACTGCACAAGCCTTCTCCATTCACAGTGGCTGATCAATCAAGTTAAGACAAGTTGGGAGGATTTTTTACTTCAGTCATACACTGAATTAATTTTGCCACTCTATTTTCATTGCTGTGACTATGAAAATTCTTATTTTCCTTCATGTTGTCTCTGTAAAACATGATCTAATTCAGAGTTTGGACAGCACATTAATAAAGTCTATAGGAAGGGCCTTCAGGCATCACATCATCACCTATCAATATTATCAACTCAAAGAATCTTCATCCATAACCATATACAAGATAATTGTTTTTTCAATCTGCTCCTACAGCTGGTGTTTCTGTCCTCTATTTCCATGGGTTTTTCCTGCCTGCTGGAGCACAGGTGGGCCATGACAGGTGGAATTCTTTTACCTGCAGCAGGGGTGGAAACAAGAGCGACCAGAAAAATTGCTGTCTACTTTCCTCTCTGAAATTACAGGACCTGAGATGGGAAAAAGATTTCTGATGGAGCTGTTCAAAGGCTGGACTACAAGGCAGGGCTTTCCTCATGCAGAAGCACAACTGCAACAGTGTCTTGTCCCAAGTGACTGGTATTATCCCATGGGAAAGCAATGTTTCTGCAAAGCTCCATCTGAATCTCCACTGAGCTGCCAGCTGGCTTAGATCTAGACTCACCCTCATACATCCTAGCTAGAGCCAGCAGGTTCAGGGGCTTGGTCAAGTTTGTTACACACCCATGTACCAGACTACCCCAAGAAAACAGTTTCACTCTTGATCTCAATTATGTCATGTTATGAAGAATTCCAGCAATTATCCATGCATGACTGGGAAGAAGGAAAGGGAAACAGTGCTTCCCATTTAACCAGCTTGAAGTTTTCCGTTTTCAGCTTTTAGTTCCTTCTATCTTCCTCTTTTTTATTACACATTTTTTGCCCATTCTTATCTCAGTAGTGCTTTATCTTAGACTAGTTTCACCCATTTTACCAAGAAGATGGAAAACAGCCCCAAATGATAGGCAGTTACCAGCATTCATTAATCCAGCAAGGTCAACACATTGGTCTTCAGATCCAGTGCAGTTTACAACTTCATTACTGCACTGAAAGGAGTCCACACTGTAGCAGGCAGGACACTGGTATCCATTGGGCACATCATTATCTGGTGGCACTGGAATGAAAAACATGGCCTGTAGCTGGTTTCAATAAGGGAATGAGAGGAATAACACAGGTGATGGCTTAACCTGGAAGGCCTCACCATGGGATGGATCAGAGGGGATGGGCTATAAGGACAATAAATAGGTTACATGACACAGATGTGGTCCGACAGTCATCGCCTGTGCAGCAAACCAAGTGGCTCTTTGCTTTCACCTTCCCATAGTTCACGGTGACAGGACCAAGGTGGCAGACATGGGATGGCAGGCAGGACTTGATGGATGAAGAGATGGCCATTCCCCCTGTCATGAAGCAGAAGACAGTGCCGTTATTCAACACAAAGTAACTCATTTTCCCTCCTGTTGGTTCATGTACCAACTTCTAGGCAGCAGTCCCAGGGCCTAAGAGGGACCCCTAAGCCCCCTGAGAAGCATCACCAGTGGGCCAGGACACTGCAGAGATTATGGTGTGGCACATGCCTCTGACCCAAAGCACAGGCTTGTTCAACCTGTGTAAAATCTGCAGAGTGCACAGTCCATCCCAGCCACAAGCATCCTGTCAGGCTCAACTTTGGTCTACCCTATCAGCCAAGCCCAAAAGGTGTAAAGGGGAGCAGAACAGCTAAATGGAGTTTGCTGAAGTGCTTGAAGGATGAAAGGTGGGTGCAGCAGCAGCAGAAGACAGGCGCTGGAGCTGCCAGCACCAAAGCTGGTAGGATATGAGCCAGACTCCAGTTTAAAAGGCGACAATCGCATCACTAAGGCTGAGAGACGACTGAGGCCATGCCTCTAACACAACTGAGTGTCCAGCTGTGTCAGGGCTCAGCACCAGCTTTGACGTATCAGCTACAGGGACACAGTTACTGATTAACAACCTTTCCTCTGAGGACAAGCTGAAAGAGTTGGGGTTGTTCAGCCTGGAGAAGGGCGGGCTCTGTAGTGACCTCATAGCAACTTCCAGTGCCTAAAGGAGCTACAAGAGAGCTGGAGAAGGGCTTTGGACAAGGACATGAACTAATAGGGTTGAGGGAATGGCATCAGACTGAAAGAGGGTAGATTAAGATTAGATATTAATAAGAAATTCTAGACAGTGAGGGTGGTGAGATGCTGGAATAAGTTGCCAGGGGAAGCTGTGGATGTCTCCCATCTCTGGCAGTGTTCAAGGTCAAGTTGGATGTGGCTCTAAGCAACCTGGTCTTGTGGAAGGTCTCCCTGCCCAAGGCAGGGGGTTTGAAACTAGATGATCTTCAAGGTTCCTTCCAACCTAAACTGATTGATGATGATGACGATTATGATGATAAGGTGATAGCTCAGCCCTAGTGTCACTGCATGATTGCGTGGTGTCCCCATCCCTGCTTGAGGACAGGGAAGCTTCTCTCTCCACACACCACCAGTGCATCCCCAGTACTAGGTGTCAGCGCCTTAGTGTAAGTCATGGTTCAGTCTGCCAACTTCCTGACTCAACTACTCACCTTCACCAGAATTAAAAGCCAGTGTCTCCTCCCACTATGAGGTTTTGGTCCTTCCCTCTACAACTAAGAACCAAACCCTCCCAGTAGAAAACTGCTTCTCAAAATAGAAGAATGAGAAGCTTTTCCTATCCCAGACTATTCTGATCTCTGGGTCATCTGTCAGTAAAAGAAAAATGAACAGGTTATCCAAGGATGGACCATACTACCAGTGACAAAAGTAGGGAGAGAGAGACAAGTCCCCAAGCGACCCCACTCTGGAAGCCACACTGGCTTAGAAGATGTCTCACCTATTAGGACTTCATGCAGAATAATGCCACAAGTATCTTCACCACCAGTGCAGGTTTTCATGGGGCCAGAGCAGCTTTTTCCTATACTGTGACATATCTCACACTGGAGGCAGGTCCCTGTGGAGAGGAGGACACATTCCTGAGCAGCAGACATAAGGGATCCCACTTCCTCTTTCACTGAGGTTTGATTTCAGCAGTGATCAGCACTTTTCACATTTCTCTTCCCTTATATTTCATTATGCAATCTATGTTGAGCTTTTCCAGAGCTGCTGATGACAGCAGCCCTACAAACCCCTTCATCCTGGCAGGCAATCAGGTATCCCTGGATTCACAGACTCCAGATTCTCTCTTGGTAGAAAATAAAGACACGTGAGTGGCTGGGGAACAAGAGCTGCCAGCAGGTGCTTCTTGTACTCTGTACAAACTGCAGACTTTCTCCATAATCATTATCTCTTTGTATATCTCTTTGTAGGCATTAGGGGAAAATGGACAAGGACAGGAACAGCAGGTATCTGGAACTGTGTTCCTGATACCTGCTGGAACGCTTTAAGCAGACCGTACTATCAGATACTCATCAGGAAGCACTTAGAAAGGAATAGCATGTATTTCAACAGAGAGCAAACAGGACCTCTTCCATGACACACACCCACAAGAGTCCAGCATGTAGATTAACAGGTCAGGCATGTGTCACTTCCCTGAACCCAGGTGCCAGCTAAGGCACTTTGCAGTGGCCATGGCATCTGCTGTGAGCCAAGACCTCCAAGACAGCTATGTTTTTCTGGAGCAGAGCTGAAGGACAGCTGAGATGACATTATGTCCAAAACATCACACAACCCTGAACATGAGTAAAATAAATGATTCAGCTTACCAATGGTCTGGCTGCCTCAGGGTGACCTGAGTCGCTCTGATGCCTGTCCTGGCTGTACCACCAGTGAGCACACAGAAAATCAGACTGTGAGCTCACGTTGTAAATGCCAACACCCTCATCTGCACATTGTCTCATAGGACCAAACACCCCCCAAGACCAGTCACCCTTACCCCTCTGCAGTGCAAATGCCCCAAGATGAGGGGGGTTCATGGCTCAGATGGCAGAAATTGCCTCACACATGATGCACTCCATTCCCAGACCTCTTTTGTGTCTTACAACCCCACAGGTCCCAGTGAAAAACTCACCTGGGTCCAGGAAAGCCAGGAGGAAGCTGAGTCCAAGGGACAGCCTCATGCTGATGGGATGTAAGCACAGGGAGCTGCCAAATCTCACCCAACAAAGCACTGTGTGCCACAAGAGCTTTATAAACTGGAAGGAAAGAGTTTTTTTGGGGAAGTAGAGGTTGGGCAAGTTTTCTGAATAATATATATACACTGCTGAGCACTAACACCCGTGTTTGCTTTTTCTTTTAAAGCACAGGTTTTGCCTTTTTCTTCATATGAGTGATGCTGTTTGATTTTCCCCTGTTTAGAGCATGCATCCTGTGGAGTAAGACTGGCTTTCCTGGTGATACCAGCTATGTCTCTGGTAAAGACTTTGAACAAGGTTCAGCCTCCACCATCCATATGGATGATGGAGAGGAAACCATTTGAAAAACCCTGGTGTGCTCACACTGTTAGTCCCAAAGAAACAAAGTATAGCAAGGAGCAGCCAGGAAATTCCCCTGTGGTTTAGTTTTTGATGGCTGGTTTCCCATTTTGTCATTCCCATCATAGAGTCAGGAGCTCTCATGCCCAGAGTACAATCAGAAAGCAGCAGTGCCAAAGCAGTGGACTTCCTCTCCAAGCTGGAGTGCAGCTTCAGTTTGTAAAGTGACTGCCAAAGCACACCTTGGAGCAGGCTCAGTCAAGGGTTCTCGGGGTTGAATACGTCAGAGCAGCAAAGCCAGTACTCCAGGGTTTGTGTTTTGATATAAAACACTTGGTGGTTGATAAGGAAGTGTCCTATTGTCCTTCTGGGCTTTAAATTGAATGAAGTCAGAATAGAGAAATCATTGATGTGGTTGCAAGACAGTCTGGTCACAGATTAGGGAAGGTTATAGCAGTATTCCATGGCCTGGCATCTCATGATGGGCTAATGACAAGCAGCAGTGACCAACTTGCCATTGCCCACAGGCTCCCTGCCTCATGTGCAGGCTTTATTAGGATGTGCTGACTCATTGAAACCATGCCCTACTCTGAAGATATCCTCTTGTCCTGCACCATAGTGGACACAGGCCCTCCAGGACTTTTTGCATTGACAGACACGAAGAACTGAAGTGCCCTCATGCTCCCTTCCCTTTTGAGACTAACCTCTTCAATGGACAGTTGTCTTTTGACATTTCCCAATATATTGAGTAGTCCAGTGGGACAACTTCTGAGCTAAGCCCAGAGTGCTATAAGAATGGGAATCACACAGAATAAGAGCCTTGGTTCCCCCATTGTCCACAAAGCTGATATCACAGGAAAACCAGGGAGAATTATGTCTTCACACAGAAATTCTTTTTCAGTTCAGAAATGGTCTCATACCACAGTAGATATGTGAAAATTAAATCAATGTCCTGACTTCAGCCTGCTCAGGATTAAAATTAATTTCTTATTGGTCTTACACCTCACAAATAATAAAATCATATCCCCAGGCAGGCAGAGTTACCTAGATTCTGCCATTTGACTAAATATGGGACTGCAGATACAGATAGGAAGATGAGAAGATGTGACTGTCTCTGGTGATTTTAATTTCATGCCCTTTCATTTAAGATGATTAGTGAAGTGCTTGGGGGCTTTCCCTGAACAACATGACCACACTAGTCTCACTGAATTACACAGAACTCACCTGTTTCCCACCTCACAGGGAGGGAGGGTATGAAGCTGCAGCCTTTTCATATGCTCTTTTAGAGATGAAACCAAGCACAGCAAGAAGAAGGCACAGTCTGCAGCAATAAGAGACCTGGAAAATAAGACTTATTAGAAAAGGTGACAACAATAAAGGTCCTCAGGGGACACCCAGTTACATCATACAGGTCTACAGAAAAACAGGGCTGGATAAGAAAAACTATTGTGGGGGGTTTACATTAGGTATTGGAGAAATTTTCAAACAGTGACAATAGTGAAGCTGATTGCCTGGGAAGGTGTGCATCCTCCACCCTGGGTGGCTTGGAAAAACAGACTAGACCAGTATTTATTAGGGGAATATATAAGTTGATAGGATCCTGCTCCAGGGCTGAGAGATGGATTAGATACTCTCTCTCAAGATTCCTTCTAAATTGTTTTTTATGTTTTAATTTCATGCGCATGAAAGTGCCTGTCTCTGCAGCATGTCCATGTTTCCAAGAGGAGAGAAGGATGTTAACACAGCAGTCACAATCTCCACAGAGGCTGGAGAGGTCAAAAAGATCTGTGAGATGAGAAAAGTTAAAAATCCAACTCTGAAAATAGCATTGGTAGGAAGGGGAGATGAAAAGGGATTAAATGAAAAGGAAGATGATTCTATGATTCAGCCGAAGAAAGACATTCACCTAGGCTAGAGCATCTAAAAAAATAAATGTGAGTTTGTTCTGTGGAGTTGTAGCAGAAAATTTGAATTTCCAGTGGGTTTCACAAAATCAGAGAATTGTTTCGGTTGGAAAAGACCTTTAAGAACATTGAGTCCAGCCATGAACCCAATAGTGCCAAGCCTACCAGTAAACCATGTTCCTAAATGAAGTATCTCTATATCTTTTAAATACCTCCAGGGATAGTGATGCCACAGCTTCCCTGGGCAGCCTCTTCCAGTGCTTGACCACCCTTTCTGTGAAGAAATTTTCCTAACATCCAATATAAATCTCTCATGGGAAAACCTAATACTATTTTCTCTCATTCCAAGAGCCCAAACATAAAGGTATGTGTTCAAAGCATGAAAATAATATGTGTGATTTACATCACAGCTGAAGAACCCAGGTCAGAAAGCTCTGAAAAAGAAATAAAAGTGACAAAAGTGTGACCAAGAAAGTAAAAGTTAGAAAGGACTGGATTGAACAGTTCCTGTAGGAGATAATGAAGGAGAGCTTTGCACAGTCCTAACTGGCATTCAAAGGGAGGATTGCTAAGAGAGAATTACAATGTTGGCTTTAAAAAAGAAGAAGTGAGGTCAGAGCTAAGGATGAACCCACTGATGGTGAGGTTAGCTGGGGCCAAGAGGACCACCCTCTTCCTGTGATGAGACACTTGAGAGGGAACCAAAAGGACAGGATGCACCTGGGTGAAGGAGGAATCCAACAGAGCCCTGGAACCAGGCAAGCACAGAGTGGCTGCCAGCCCTGGTTCCTCACAGTCACTGCAGCACTGACAAGTGCTCCCCTCCCAGCAGCACAAAGCTGCAAAGCCCTTTCTGCAATAGCAGGCAAACTGGTGCTCAGGATGAAGCACAAGGCTGGGGTCCTCAGCTGCATCCAAAATTCAAGGCAAGCACAGAGTGGCTGCCAGCCCTGGTTCCTCACAGTCACTGCAGCACTGTGACAAGTGCTCCCCTCCCAGCAGCCCAAAGCTGCAAAGCCCTTTCTGCAAAGGGCAAGGCAAAGTGGTGCTCAGGATGAAGCCCTGTACACAAGGCTGCATCCAAAAGGGTCACTCAGAGTACTGGCAGCTACAGGAGGGATGTCACCCCTTACCTACGTTACCAGGACATAGATCCTGAGAAAGGCTGGAGGGACTATCACCACAGACATTTTTAACCACAACACATCTCCCTTTCTTCTTCCCTTTAGAAGACAGTCCTAACTTCCCAGCCTCACTGGGCTACCATTTGGGCTATGCTAACATGGGGCTGTCTGTCACTTCAGGACCTTGTATATCTCCAACAGCTCTAAAGCTCTAATACCTCTAGTACATGCCTAAGTAATACCTCCAGTAAAAGAGCAGTGTTCCAAAAGCCCAGGCACAGGTTCTGTGGGAGCACTAGAGCAAAGGTGTCTCCTTATCTCCACTTAACCATGATGCAAGAAGACAGAACCACAATGTGTTATGACATTTCAATGGTGTACTCATTCAGCCCATAAAAAAATGCTGTAGAAGAAGATTCAAATCCACCCATTTTCTGAGCTTATTCCTAGTTCTCCAGAACACACATTGGCAAGAACTGCCAGTCTGGTTAACCAGGCAAGGAAACATAACAGAGCAACTCTAACCACTCCATGCAAGGGTTAGTGCATCTGCCCCAAAGGGTGAGAGCAGCAGGAGTCTCACCATGTGCTTGTTGACAATAGGCTGAGGAAGTTTTCACAGAATCACAAAATGGTTTGGGTTAAAAGAGGTCTTAAGGACCAGCTAGTTTCAACCCCCTCTCACCTTCCACTAGACCAGGTCAATTTGACAGTCATTTGTCTTAGCTGTGATTGCACAAATAAACCAGCCAAGGGGTAGGTCAGTATAAATCTAATTGCCACTCCTGGTATGGAGCTTCCCAAGGTACCCCCTCAGCTGTGCTCCCCCCAGTGCTTCACCAAATAACTCTAGGCCAGAAAGGAGGGAATTTTATTGCCTCTCCCCACCAACTGCTGATGTGGGGTCAGTGCTTGGAACAGGACCTGGGGAGGGAAGGCTGGTGGCAGCCAGATGGTTCAAGGGAGCAAAGTCACACCCATGGCTCCATGGGAGTCAGAGAACCAAGAGTTTGTCAGCAGGGAAGTTACTGTGTGTCTGAAAGAGCAGCATTACTGTAATAGGGTGCCAATTTTCACACATTACTTTCCCATGCGGACTTTACATGGCATGGTGCTAGTGCCAGGTCCCAGGTGGCTGTACTGAGCCCTTTTCTTGCACCTCTCCCTGGTGTGGGCTCCTTCCCTCTTCCTGCCAGTGCTGGATCTGCCTTTCTTAAAAATATCCTTCAGGGTTCCCTTTCCAGCCAGCCAAGTCAGTCCTTTAACGTGAGATCTCCTGTTGGAAAAGAATTTGTGAACCAGGGAAGAGATGTTGGAAGCTAGAAATAATATGAATATAATAACATTATACTGCTGCTTAAATGCTTTCTTCTGTGGTTAAAAAACATGGTAGTTAAGATGTTTGTGCAGGATCACTCCTGAGAAAATACACAGAATCAAATTGCTAAATACTATCAAATCATGAAACTTCCTCTTTCAAGAGATCAAGACATTTAAAGCAGTGCAAGGGACATTTTATTTTGGCTTTAACATTGATAAACTGTTAGTACCCTGGCCAGTAGTTACCTTTCCAGCTGGAATAATTGCCATGGAACCCAATTGCTTTTCAAATATCCTGAAGGAAGATAAATTTGCACGCACTTTAGTGTGTTCAATGAACTCTCTGTTACAGCATGAGTCATCAGCAATGTCATCTTTGAGCATTCAAGAAAACAGCATCTGTTTAATCCATTGGTGGATAATGTAGAAAGTACATCCTTATTAGATATTCACACCTCTTATTAGACATTCATATTTCAACCTCCTCTTTGGTGAACTTCTCCAAAGTGCAACTTTACCAGCAGCAGAGCTCATTCACTGAGAGAGTTCCAGGTTGGCAGCTGAGGCAGACCAGTTTACCAGTTTTAACTGGTACATCAAGCCAAAGTTAATGTTGCATGATCTGGTATTAAAAAAAAAAAAAAAAAAAAAAAAAAACCAACCAAACAATGAATGCATAAGATGAAGTCTTTTAATCCAATATTAATATCCACACATTATATTTATCATTCATGGCAGCAGTTAGGAATCTCAAAATGGAATAAAAAGTCAGTGTTTCAGGAATCATATCTAAGGGGGCTCTCAAGTAACCTGGATCTGCTCTTGTCCCTTGAAAAAGTGACCTGACCCCAAGCCCCTGACAACTTGATTGAATGTGTTTAGATGGCTTTGTTTTTTCCAGCCTTCTACACAAAAAGTCTCCCATAAAGCTGGAGCTGATGATGAATGTCCCAGATCCTGGGAAAGCCAATGGACAAGTGGGAGCCTTTTACATCCCACTGGAATTTGTGAAGAAATCTGTGAAAACAATGGGAACCTATAAAGTTCTTTTAAAAGCCTAATTTTTGAGGGGGCAAGGAGCCAGGCAAAGACAACCTGGTGATGAGGCATTGATAAACTGTAGGTGTTAAGCTGATCTGGGGGATTTGGGAGGACAATGATCCATTCAGCCACTCATCTACTCCTTCTCTCTGGCTATCCACTGCACCTATCTGCGCACCTCCAGCATGGAAACCCTCTACATACCTGGAAATGGGAGATGTGAATTGGCAAGGTATTAATTTTTGCCCTGGACTGCATTTATTTTCTGAAAAATATCACTCTATCTGTTTTCCACCCTTTCTTTGTCTTCAGTCAACTACCAACCAAGTCCCACTGACAGGAAAAAAGATTTTACTATGAAAAGCAGGAGTCACAGGTGAGTAAGATCTGCCTTGGAAATGGACATATGCAGCCCAGTCAAGAAAAAGAAAGGTAAATTATTACCACTGGGCTTGAGAAAAGACTATGCTGTGGCTACAAACTCTGCACATGGTGAACAATATTTGAAAGAACGCATTTCTTTGAACTTTTACACAGATGCAGACTCTTTACACTGGAGATCTTTGTAGTGTGAAGGTCCAGACAACCTCATTTACCACTTTTTCTTAAGCTGAAGTGATCTGGAATTGACTGAACCCTTCTTATAATTTTTGGCATTCCATCTCTCAGTAGTGTGATGTTACTCCATTGATGTCATCCTTTTCTGTTGCAGGAGTTTTCCTGAGTGTGCACACATCATCCCCAGTGAGTCCAGGTGTTATGTGCTTTTCAGTATCAGTTTCTGTCTCCTCTTGCCAGGCCTTTTTTGTGAAGCATCACACATTGCATAAGGAAGAACCCAGAAACCCATGCCCTGCAGCACAAGGAGACATGATCCCAGTTTTCCAAGTGATGCTCATCTTTCCCATCCCTTTCCAGTCCAACATTAACCATTGGTTGATAAGCATCA